AGGAGATTGTCTTGACCAGGACCACACCCCTAAATGCTTTGAAGCAACTGCCATGTGATTGGTTGATTAGATAATTGCATTAATGAGAAATTAGTATGGTGTTCCTAATAATCCTTTAGGTGAGTGTATGTCTTCATGATTTGTACTCCAGTATTTGAGTTACTACTACGATGCAGTGCTTATGTATTCACAAACATCTAAAGATGTTTCATCTCAAGTGAGATCCATACCTTCTCTGCATTTCTGGTGTGAAATGTCCATCACAGGTTGTTTCGTAGTTCAGTTGGTCACAGGTCCTGTTTGCTGGAAATCTCAGTATTATGGCCATTTATCTTTAGTGCCAATTCATACAGATTTTGGTATGCAGATTTTATGATTGTATGATCCAGCAATAATGGTGTCCTGTCCTGCTTCTCTCACACAGAATTTACCACCTATGAGAAGCGCCTTAAGCACGGCAGCATCCATTCTGGGCATTTAACCAATGGGGCTCCACCTATCTGCACCCCACCATCTCAGTCAACCGGCCGTCTGAGCTGGCCCCCACCGCAGTCCACCAAAAACAACGGTCAGGTTCATCTGGACAAGAAGACTTCGCCATCCACCTGCACAGCCAACAGCCAGCACAGCCTGAAGGCCACCACATCCCAGATCCAGCAGGTGGCTGGAGATGGTAAGAAAGGGGCCCTTGACATATACATGAACTCACACTCGTGTCATTTCTACATGACAGCGTGCAAACTGCAGTAATTAAATACATGTGTTTATCCAGAGCACATTCCCACTGGCTGCAGTGAATTATTACCTTTGCCTTCATCCACTTGGATTGCACTCACTTCTTTTGCAAGCTCAGAAGGCTGATTGGTGGTTAAAGCCACACATGGAAACTATTCATTCAAGGGAATTTGCCAACGTGTTGCACTACTTTTCACTATTTATTAACTAGAATAAATCTTCCTTAAGTATAAAAAAGATTTATTTAAGGTTTCTATTTAAAGGGCTGAACTGTATATCCATGCAATTATTAGGAATGGGGATGGCAGTCTGAATACTAATAAAGTGATAATAGACAGAATCTGCTTTTAGAAGTCCATGCCTGTAGGTTACATCACTTCATACTTTGAGTTAATATAAAAAAGAGAACAAGGCTATATAGTGAATTCAGATAAATCACATCTCCTAGACACATTATTTTCATTTTAAGTGCAAAAATGTATAACACATCCCTCTTCACCTTAGGTGCTGATGTCTTTCAGGGTTATTGCTAAACTTTAATACATGCTCGTTTGCATGTTGTACAGTTTTTAACATTTTAATGGTATTAAGTGCTATTAAGATTTCCATCGTACCTCAAGTGTTACATTTTTAAAATTATTTTTAAACTAAGCAGTACCCATTTAATTGGTATTTATCTTCATTCCTTCCAGTTTCCAAGATAATGAAAATGTCTGTTTCCCCACTATAGGTCCTTTAGACCAGATCTGCAATCTACAAATAATCAATTATAGTCAGTTACAATCCACTAATATCAAAGCCAATCTATGAATATGAAGAGAAGTGGATCTTTGTACATTTGGTGTTACAAGGCCATAACTCTGGTTTGAACATTGGGGGATTGAGGTTTCTGCCCAGTAAGGGGGAGACAGGATTATTGGGGGGTTGTATTAGTCGGTTTTTGAGGGTTACGACCCGCCCACCCCCTCATAATTTATGCCCATGTGTTATAACACACACAGCCTGCATTTTTGCCACTTCCTCCTCTGCCTTCCATATTTTTTCCTTCTTGTTCACTTCCACCCTCCCCCCCTCCCTGTAAAGGAAATATTCCTCCACTATTCATTTGATTCTTCCTCCGTCCCGGCCTGATCCTCCCACTTGCTCTGTGCTTCCTGTTTCCGTGGTTTATCCTGATTTCGCATTTTGTTTTTCACCCTCTACTGATTTCTAATTCTCATATCGATCCTCTCTGCATCCCCTTTCTCATCCGTCCGTCCAAACCTTTGTTACATTTTATGTGTGTAATTATCTGTCATGTATTTACTTATTCCTTTTTCTTAAGATCACTCCTACACACTTCAGGAACTTCTTTACCCTCTGATACTCTGCATCATCCTCCTCTTTTTACATTGTTTCACTGCTTCCTTTAGCTGCTCCTTCATCATCATCTAATCATCACTTTTCTTACCACCTTCCCCTGATCTTGGTTGTCTTTTCCTCTTTCTCTCTCTGTCTCTCGCTCCCTCTTCCTCTCAGAGCCGTGTGCCTCTCTTGTGCTGAATTGCCTTTTCTGCCGTCTGTTGGACTGCTTCCTAGCACTTGGGGAGTGCTGCCGTCGCTGTGTTTCCTCCCTCTGCTCCTGCGTGTGCTGCTGTCAGTCCTCGCCTCTGGACCCCCTCCCGGTGGAAGCCTCGCCCTGTGCACCCTGCACCTTGCAGCTCACCTGCCCAAGCTGGGATCCCTGTCTGTGCACCATGGAGTGCCTGGAGCTGGGAATGGAGATTTCACAGCTGCTTCTCCGCTAGAGTGGAGGGCGTTTAAAAAGGAGGATTAAGGCTTAAAAAAGAGGACACCCATAAAAAGTTGTTGAGCATGCATGCTACGGAAACAGGGGGCAGTATATCTTTTGTGAAGATTATATTGTCATGTCAAGAGAACAACATAGACAAATAATCGCAGGCATGGCCGTTCTTGCCTTCCGTCGGGGGTTGATCGGGGTTGGAGAGAGTGCTAGTTGCTGATGGGGAGGCGGGTAGAAGGGAGGGAAGAAGGATGACCAGGAGGCTAAAAGGAGGACACCCAGCAGCAATCCAGGCAGAGGGCTGGAATACCGGACTGTCCGGACAGAATCCAGGCGATGGTCACCCTATTGTCCGCTGACCGTCCAGATGCTCCATCCTGCTCTTAACACACCTGTCTGTCTGTCTGTCTGTCTGTCTGCTCAAGCCAGTACATAGAGGTTTTTCTATAGATCAAATGTCATTCAACTCATGCCATCAAAATGGTTAGTATTACTTAACGCTTTTCAAATTTCTGAGTGCATCAAAAATCTTCCATTTTACTTCGCAAGCTGCTTCCTCTGAATGCACTATTTCTGTTCTGTTATTTCGATAATCTCATTCTGCATTCTCATGGTAAATAAACAGAAGGCAGCCATTAAGCTCCTTTCCACTGGTCTCTGAGAGCACTTACAGAAGAGGCTTCCAGGAACAGCCATGGCTGTGCAGTCAGAAATAACAGCAAAGCACGGAATTAGCAATTACAGTGGGTGACAGATGGGTGAATGAGTCCCTCGAGAACTGAAAATTAGTCAATAACTTTAACCAAGTATGTACAATATTGGCCAATATTACGTTTATCTATATATACAGTATATATATAGTATATATACAGTATATTATCATAACACTAATACACAGAATTATTATATATTATTATTATTATTATTATTCTTAGCATTATTATAAAATTACAGTATTATGTCTTGGGAACCTACATGGTAGGGTGACTAAGTCTTATGCTCTCCTAGTGATCTTTTAACTTTTGTTTAAAATTTGTTTATCCTATTTAATTAAATGCAGTCTTCTTAGGTCATTAATTAATGTTAAGATTCAAGACTCAGTAAAGGGAATTAAGCTTTTAATATGTCAGAGCTCATAAATGTCATAACATTTCTAACAGATTTTTGTAACATTTTTGGAGTGAGGTCCTGAATGAGATAAGTGTGTGGCTTTCGTGCGGTTCTCCGGAAGGTATGTCATGATGGTGTGTGTCTCTCTGCAGATTGCTGTGTGCATTGTGTTCTGGCCTGCCTATTCTGTGAGCTGTGGTCTCTGTGCTCCGTGATGGTGCAGTGTCTGGCCTGTGGACGAGGCTGTGAAGCACTGTGCTGCTGTGGGAGCGAAGCCACAGGAGACGTGGCATGTGGAGATGATGCTTGCTGTGATGCATTGGATTGTGGGATATTGGAGGACTGCTGCGAGTCCTCCGACTGTCTGGAGATCTGTCTCGAGTGTTGTTCCATTTGCTTCCCAGCTTAGCTGTGACCCACTGTAATGATTAACTATTGCTACACAGGTCCCGAAAATCCACATATATATTTTTTTATTTCATATTTGATAGACTATTAAATATAATTTAATTCTTTTGAAATGAGTGGTGTCTCATCCAGGGTGCCTGTGCTGTCTGGGATAGGCTTTTAGGCCCCCCGGTGACCCTGACCAGGATAATTAATTGGATCGATGGATGGATAGACTATAGCTTTACCTTAACACTCAACCTGGCTACTCATCACTGTCAAATGAGACACGTATCTCCAATAATCCATTATTTCAGGAGCGAAAAAACTAATTCTCATAGAAATAACTTTATAAAATAAACCTAAAAGAACACAATGAGACACCCTTAGTGACAGAAACAGATAATCATTACACAGCCATCAGTGAACTCTTTAATGTTTTAAATGGACTCACGTGGATGATTGGTAGCGAGGCAAATATACTCATTGACAAAAAAAGTTAAGCACCCAGAAGTAATGGTCTGATTTGGATGTAATTTGGTACATTTGCAGACCAGCGATAGGTATGTAAATTATTTGATTTGCAAGGAGCTGGCAAGTCTAGTCACCAGACACAGAGGATGCCTCGTAGACACATTAGACAGCATTACCAGCACTTGACGGAGTTTGATAGGGGTGGCATTGTGGGTTTGCATGAGGCCAGGTGGTCGTATCATGCAATTGCCCAGCATGTGGGGCATGCAGATGTGACAGTCGCCCGATGTTGGAACCAATGGGCAGGTGAGGGAACCCACATACGTGAAGGTTCAGGTCGCCCAAGACAGACCACACCAAGGGAGGATCGTCGCCAAGCATTACAGAACCCCATGACATTGGCACCTGCCACCCGGACACAGGTATTGGACTCTCTACAACACCCCTTACCCCTCCTGAGACAGCACCCTGGTACAGTCTTTCAATGAGACAATGCCCATCCACACATGGCATGTGTGTCTATGGACTGCCTGCGTCATGTTGAGGTCCTTCTGTGGCCAGCCAGGTGCCCCGATCTTTCCCCATCTGAACATGTGTGGATAAGCTCAGACGTCAACTCAGACCCAGTGCCAATCTGCAGGATCTCGAGGGCCAGTTACAAGAGCTGTGGGCCGACTTGCCAAAGGAGAGAATACAACGGCTGTATGACTCCCTTCCGCATCGTATCACTGCATGTATCCAGCCCTGGGGGGGGGGGGGGGGTCAGCAGTGTGCCCATACTGCCAACTCTGTTGTCCGTTTCATCTGATATTATAATCACCCAGAAACAAACTAATCTTGCTCTATATTCACAATTAGAAATTGTTATTTAGCTAGTTATCTAGCTATTAACGTTAGATTGTTAAAATTAGTGATATAAAGTAATCCATAAAAAACGATTATTTATACAAATGAATACAAACTAAATAAATACTAGTAAAATAGATGACTTCATACGTCTTTTCATTGGTCAGTTAGATGTTAAATGCTATCAGTAGACAGAGGACAGTATTCCATGTTATGTGCTTATTTAAAATTTTCTGCCAAGTTTTTTGCTGTCTGTCATGTGGTGATCTCTTAATTAAAGTACTGCTGAATGAACTGGATCAAGACATTTGATCTGAATTCTATGGTTAGATATGATTATTGAGGATGTCTCACAAGAGTAGAATGCCAAACAAATTATTAAGTTAGTAGTGACCAGTTCTGTGCTCCCATTTCCGTGCCATAGACATTTTCTGGAAAAAATGGATCCAACACGAGAAATTAGATTTTTGTGTTTCGTATCCCAAATGATGATTTCAGGTAAATTGATTGTAGTGCTGTTTGTCATGCCACACAAGTCCAGCATATTTGGACAACAGTTATAATTTATGCTATATTCTTCATACAAACTTTAATCAGACGTGGAGTCACAACAGCAACCAGCCAAACTCGTATCCCAGAGTAATTGTAATACAGAAGGCATTCTACACAAAAATTACATAAAGGCAATTTTGTACTTCAAGAGGTGGATTTTTTAACAGAGAAATAACACTGATTTATAACATATAGGTTGTCTATGAGGAGTGTTCTGGTCTAAAATAAACACTGTATATTCTTGATTGACTGTTTTTTACTAACCTCAGTCTTGCATGAATCCTTGGTGCACTGAAAAATGTTGCACAAATGATGTTAAACTTCTCACTGAGATCAAAAGCCAGGAAATTAAGTATTTCTTAGCTTTTCCCAGAATATTTAAGTATCGTTTGCTGTAGTTTCAGTGAAGTGAAACCATTATTTTTATCCATTTCTTTGGTGTAGTTCTTTCTTTCTTTCTTGTTACCCCAGACTATTAAATGTCATTTTTCATCATAAAAAAATCAATTTAAATGTCAATGTGAAGATTGTAAATATGTTAACAACTATGATCCACAATTAAAAATATTTTTATATGTTTAAATGGGGGTTTTGTATGCCTGCATGTGCATTACAGTGTCTGTAGTTATTACGCATCTGTCAGTGTTTGGGGGCTTTACTGATGTGATGGTGGATGTCAGAGTCAAGCAATATAAAGAGCCGTTGTCTCACTCTCTCCCCTCCTTGGGCCCGTTTTGCAGAACTTCCAGTCCTCAGTGAATGTGCATTACAAAAACAAAAAAATATATATTATAGGTTACTTTGGGTCTGCAGGCCTTTTGATTTATGTCATGTCAAAATAATAAAATATTTTTCATCCCATCATCATGAGTGGTAGGCATGATTTTCCGCTGTACCAAAAAAAACGGTTCCTGTTTTGGAAATGTTCTACCCCTCCAACCTCGCCCAGGCTGGCATAATATTTGTGATCCATTCCGCCAAAAACAGCATGGTGTCCTTTTCATTTTGTCCGTCCTTCTTGCTTAATTATTACATGTACTGTATTACATATGTTCTAGGTGTGGCCGGGTCCAATAAGATGTGGGTATTGGGCCACCAGAAACCATTACATTCCAAAGACAGGTTTTTCTCTAAATATATCAATAATCTATCTACATTAATAACATATAAAAACAATTTTTTAAAACTTCATTATTAGATTAGATTAGACTTTATTAATCCCACAATGGGGAAATTCTTTGAGAATTATAATTAATAACGAGATGTTGCACATACATATTACCTACAAGTGAATGGATTATGATGGAATTATAAAATGCAACTGATTGTATAAAATGTTGTGACAATTAGAAGGCATCTAACATGTATCCATGTTATGCTTAAACTAAGAACAGCTGTTCGTAAAGGCCAACCTGAAGTAGACTACAATAAAAAGATAAATACCTGTCTGCTATTTTACTCCTAATCAACATTCCAGGGCAAAACATTACATTCCACACACAAAAAAAGAAAACAGTCAGCAGTGAATTTGATTCTACAGACAGGAAAGAAAAGCAGGAGGCGAAACGGATGAAAGCCTGACCTTCTCATCTAGAGCTCTCATCTGAATGGAAAATGCGACTCACAGTCTACCTTAATCCGCTGTCAACCAAATGCATTCACACCCATGTCAGCACAAGGCACCTTCCAACTGGGGCAGGCTACAAAAAATAGCACCGATTTATACCTTTGAAGGTACAATTACTTGTCACTGGGCTGTACCATCAAGGGGCTGCTAGTTGTACCCTAGCTGTAGGTAAATGTACCATTTAGTCTAATTTAAGGTACAGAAATGGACTCCAAGGAACATCCCCAAAGTACGAACAACAATAAAATACCCTCAATGGTACAAAAATGTCCCTTCATTTCTGTACCTTAAAAGGTACATTTACCTACAGCTAAGGGTTCAACAGGCAGACCCTTGAGGGTACAGTCCCAATGACAAGTAATTGTACCTTCAAAGATACAAATTGGTCCTTGTTTTTCTGACAGTGTAGGTGGCTGGACTTTGTTACCTTTGGGGCTTCATGTCCATCGTTCAGGTTGGGACAGAGATCGACTCCCAGGTGGATTCATCTGAAGTCCACATTAAAAAAAACACATGTGATATTGTTAAATGCTGCACTGGTGCTGCACTAGTGAAGAAGTACTGGAAGAAAATGAGGAATTATTGCATTAAATGGCTTGAATTTCTGTCAGGGAGGGTTTTCACAGCCAAAAGCAGGACAGCACCTCCACTTGCATTTGTGGGCCCAGCCCATGGTGCTTGTGGAGGCTTCCAGATGAAAACAAGCTGGACACTCTAGTTTGGAACAGCCTTCAATAACATTCCTGTAGCACCTCTGGTTATACTGGAGAGGAGACATTTAATCTTTGGAGGGTGTCAAACAGATTTCTGCCCTTCCTTGCACCCAAAAGCCATTTGCCAGGTATGATCTGTATGGTACAGTGACTGAATGGAAAAAATGAGGGTATGCTGAGGACCATGCATTAAGTTATAAACATGCCAGATGTTTTGTTGCAGAAGCATGTGTCTCTCCTCCCATCCACACGAAAGCATGTTGCGGTTTGCAAAGGGATTGTGGTTTGTTGAAGTCTGTTGAGGTCCATTAATGCATCCAGGTGGTTCTGAGAAACATTGTGCAAAGCTGATTCTGATAGAAGTGGCATAATTGAGTCCTTCTTTACTGATGCTGCACACCCTAATGTGGAGGCCAGATTAAAGTTGCAGCCTGTCTGTTTCCTGATACTGATTCGTCTCGTTTCCTGCACCATGGCGTCTGGACGCTTTCTGTGCCACTAAGGTCTGTGGATGTCCATGTTAAGATCTGTGGATGTCCATGCTAAGATCTGTGGATGTCAGTCTTGCAATGTGTGTGTTTTTTTAGCATCGTCACATGAACATGTACCTGTCATTTATCCAAGTCAGCATGTTCACATTCAACAGTAATATGAAATGTAGGTGCAGTGTGTATAATGTCCCTCTGTTACACAGGTGTGTATCATTTCCTCCTGCACCCAAAGACAATTTAGTTTAGTTTAGTTAGCTAGTGTCATAAAACCATCCACATGTGTACTTTGAAATGGGTCATCCAGGGACTATCCCAGTCCTGGCCCACTCCTTCTCAGTGACCCTGACCAGGATAAGTAGCTGAAAGTTGGATGGATGGATGGATGGACGGACGAACGGAGGGATATAACATTAGTTGTGTATTAGAAAAGCAGTAAGAAGATGGATCGGTGTGAATAAAAACATTTTCAAAATAATGCCGACTTGTCAGTTTCTATTTTCTATTTCTATTGTTTTTAACTGATGTTAATACCTAGTATAACATTGGAGGGGGGATGTGGAAAGAGAGAGGGGGAGAGATGGGGAAGAGTGGTTAGGTAACTGATCAAGCTGACAGATATACCTTAAGAAAGTTACCTATAAGTAACCCCATCTTCTAATGTTTTGTTTTATAACAACAGGGAAAGAGTAGAGGAATGTTTTCAACAAAAAAGGCTGTTTATTCAAACTCTGCCCAGAAGAAGATCATCAGAGACAAAAGAAGAGGCTGAAGCAAAGCAGGAAAGGCTAGTTTATTGTAGTTGTGTGCCAAGCCAGAGTCAACAGGAAGGACAGGAAGGAGCAAAGTGAGCCAAGCAGGACAACAGTGACCACATGGTCCACAGAGACACAGCCCAGCCCTGAACTAGTGACCCCCAACCTTGGTCCGGTGGGCTTCAAATGCACAGCCAACTGTCCAGAGAGGAAGCAGCTTTTCATAGTGCCACTCCACTGTAACGCCGTGATGTCAGGAGAGCTCAGCTGATCAATCACTAAACAGTGTCTCCTGTCCCTCACACCCTGAGCTGTAGACTTCAAAGAGAACAAAAGCTGATTAATGTTGACCATTTGTGATCTGCGGATGGGATGTAGGCCTACAGATTTCAGTTTTTATTGACACATTTCCATGCTAAGATCTGTGGATTTTTTAACAGGATATTAACAGGAAGAGAAACTGCTGAAACACAATAAATTATCAAACAAATGTGCTTATTTATGTAAAAACAGTTGTAATGCACACAGTCACCTGTAATGCTAGGCAGGTGGAGCACAGCCTTCCATTCCATCGAGAAATGATTCTCTAAAACAGTGTTACATTTCAGAGCAAATATTTCACACCCAGGCCAAACCTGCACACAGAAAATGAGAGGATATTTCCTGTTGGAAATTTTTGGAAGTAATGGCTCACACTGTAATAAATGTTGCCATTATACAAGCAAATGGCTCAAATTAAATGTTTATGCTTAAAGTTTTGTTGTGTAGGATTATCTATTAGTGCATGCAGGGTGGCACAAGAGTAGATAAAACATTACCAAAATTAATCCATTTTACAGCAAACAAGAGCATAACACAATTCTTTCACATATAAGCTTTTTTCTAATCCCACTTTCACACAGAAAAGAGGTGTGCAGTTCAACAGAAAAAAATAGATTTCCAGTAGCAAGAGAAAATTTATACAGACAAAACACAACACAGCTCTTCACCATATTTTAAGACAATTTTGGAAGCCATCCCCCCCCCCCTTCTCTCACCAGTGATAAAGGAGAAACACACCAGGGCTCTGAACTTTATATTTATACAGCCGACATGGCAAGAAAAAGCATTCCAGGCCATTTATTAAAGCCTCATCCACCCAATTTAACCAGCAGCCAAGCCCTGGGTTAAGCTAACAGAACTCAGCAGGGAAACTGTAGGCTGAATCCAAAACTAACACAACGCAATAAACGGGAAATGACTATTATGAAGAAAGAGCCACTGATTTTATGACAGGGATTGACGGAGAGGACAAAAACACCATGTTTTGCAGAGATTTGCTCAACGTCTGTCTCCAGTTTAATGATTGTGTTTGAAAAACACTTGTTCATGTGATGATAGGGTTTGTTGTTAGTGAGAGTTATGACTCTAGAGATCCAATCCTCAAATTTTATTTGTTTTTAAGAAAAATATCTAAGAATAAACAATGGTTTTTATCTTAACTCTTCACCCAGGATAACATACATATTATATATTCTTAGATACTCTTAGAAATATCTACACCTGATTAAATATGTTTTTAAAATAATTGACGGAATATCAAAAATGGTGATACATTTGCAAACTTTGACGCCATCATTTTCACCTAAAATTCATTTAACTGTTGACAACCATTTACATTATTTTTATTTCTATTGGTTTTCCAGAGATGCACAATTGCAGTTGATTATAGGACAGGAAAAGAAACAAGACGCTAATCGCTGTTAAGAAAATCGGCTGGCATTCCTCCAGAAGTGCGCCCAAACAGCGGCCCCTACAGGTGCCCGCAGGCACTGGGTATGATCTGGTATACCGGGTATTACACATAATCTGGGAACCCTCCTCCCCCAGGCAAAATTTACCGTGGGGGATTCCAAAGTGGGGGGATGATTTTTAATCCCAGTGCAGCTTTGCTCTTTCGGCTTTTCTATAATACAGAAGCAGGCTGCAAATTTACATTTCACACAATCTCAGAAGAGGTAACTGGCCGGTCTTTGAAAAGTGTGTTTTACGTGCAGCGTTGGATCACATAAAAAAAAATGAAATCTTGGATGCTTTCAGAAGGAGACATACAGAAAGTCATACATTCCCATAACCGTTTATCCAGTGTTGGGTTACTGTGAACTTGGAGTCCATCCTGGGAAGAGTACGAGGCAAAGGGCTCTCCAGACAAAAGAATAGATGAAGCAAGGTTTCCCTCTAAGGGAATTCTGAGGAGAATACACTCAAAAAGACAGAAGCGCAATAGCCAAGAAAAGGATGCACGGCCAATCTCTAATACTTTTCAGATTTTAAGCAACTCATCCTATAAAATGATAGTTTAAATATGGCGATAACAACATTAAAGGTATAAATTTGGGGTTAATATAATACTGACAAATCACGTCGTTGTTAAGAAGTCCTAATTTTGATCAAGATTCGTTGTAAATGGAAACGGGACAATTCAAATACAGTGCTCAGCACTGACTTCTCAACACAGTGCTGTGTGCAATTCATAATACTACTATTCAATTAAATTTATTTTTATATAGCACCTTTCACAACAGTTGCCCCCAGGTGCTTTACATAGTTGGGTTGTGATACATATAATTGAATATAACAGAATCAGCATTATTGGGTTAGTATGTCTCCACATACAAGGAATTTGTCTCCAGTTTTTTCGTTGTTCTCAATGTACTTACACAGGACAGACATACAGCAAACATAAGATTACAAAAAAAACATATGTACAGATACATGTGTTAAAAACAAACAAAGAAACCTGTTCATGTGTCTGGTTGTTTTGGCGTACAGTGCTCTGTAGCGCCTGCCAGAGGGGAGGAGTGTGAACAGGTTGTGACCAAAGTGTGATGGGTCTGCAGTGATTCTGCCTGTTTCCTCTGGCCATGTATAAGTCCTGAATGGAGGGCAGGTCCACACCGATGATTTTTTCTGCAGTCCTGACTGTCTGTTGTAGTCTCTTCCTGTCCCGTTTGGACCAGAACCAGACCGAGATGGACGCACAGATAACATACTGGATTATTGCAGAGTAGAATGGGATCAGCAGCTTCCGAGGCAGGTTGAACTTCCTGAGCTGAGAGTCCATCCTCTGTTGTGCCCTTTTGACAATTGTTTCTATGTTGGCCGCCCACTTTAGGTCCTGGGAGATCGTGGATCCCATAAACCAGAAGGTTTCCACAGTAGACACAGTGCTGTTGCGTCAGGTGAGCGGGGGCAGTCCTGGGGGGCACCTCCAGATGCCTACTACCGTTTCAAACATGTTCTTCTAAGTTCTTCTCACCGCACCAAGGTCAGCTGTTCGGCCTCCCGTCAGGAACTAGACCTTTAAGTGCCTTATATGTAAGTAGGAGAACTTTAAAGTCAGCTCTAAACCTAACGGGAACCCAATGCTGGGAACTAAGAACAGGGGTTATGTGTTCAAACTCCCTGCTCCTGGTGACAATTCGAGCTGCTGCATTTACTGGATACAAAGACATGTATCAATTTCTCAGTGCCTTGAATAGTAAGGATTCGTCGTAGCTTGGCAATGTTACGTAACTGTAGGAAGTGCACCTTTGAAACTGTATCCACATGCAATTCGATGAGAGGCTTGTATCTAACACAAGGCCTAGGTTACGGGCTGAGCTGGTGAGGGATAAGTTCAGCCCCTCGGAGTGAAGTGCGGAAATTATAGCATTCCTTATCCGCAGACTTACCTCCAAAGAACAGAACCTCAGTTTTCTGAGCATTTAGCGATAACTAAACTGATAAAGCACCATGTCATATTTTTAATACAGTGCCTTGCAAAAGTATTCTCTCTATTTTGTTCCCTTACAACCAGAAATTTAGAATGGATTTTCAATTTGATTTTATGTGTTGGACCTTCAAAAAAACTACAGATTAATGAAGTTAAACAGGAAAAAAAAAAACTTGTTTAAAATAATTCTAAAAGATATAAAACGGAAATGTGGTGTGTGCACATGTTTTCACCCCAACCAGTACCTTCAAAAGCCACTTAATTAGTTAAATTAGATCCAGCTGTGAGCAATCTAAGTGTCAAATGATCTCAGTGTATATACACCTGTTCTAACAGCCCCCAGAGTCAACACCAGTGCAACACCACTAAGTAAGGGCTACCACCAGGCAAGTGACACCATGAAGACCAAGGAACTGTCCACACAGGTCAGAGACAAAGTTGTAGAGAAGTACAGATCAGACGTGGGTTATAAAAAATATGACAAACCCTGAACATCCCAAGGAGTACAATTAAATCCATTATTAGAACATGGAAAGATTATGGCACCACAGCAAACCAGCCAAGAGAGGGTCGTCCACCAAAACTCACAGACCGGGAAAGAAGGGCATTAATCAGAGCAGCAACCAAGAGGCCAAAGATGACCCTGAAGGAGCTGGCCGGCTCTACTGCAGAGATGGGAGTAACTGTCCATAGGACCACTATAAACTGCACACTGCACATTGCACAGAACACAGAGCTGGACTTCATGGAAGAGTGGCCAAGAAAAAGCCATTGCTTACCAAAAAAATAAGGCATATTGGAGATTCCGCAAACATGTGGTGCTGTGGTCAGATGAGACTAAAATAGAACTTTTTGGCCATGAAGGGCAACGCCATGTCCGGCACAAACACAACACTTCATCATGCTGAGAACACCATCCCCACAGTGAAGCATGGTGGGGGCAGCATCATGTTTTTCCTCAACAGGGACTGGGAAACTGGTCAGAATTAAAGGAAAATGGATGCTGCAAAATATGGAGGATTTCTTGAGGGGAAACCTGTTTGAGTCTTCCAGAGATTTGAGACTGGGACACCTTCCAGCAGGACAACGACCCTAAACACACTGCTAAAGCAACACTCCAGTGGTTTAAAGAGAAACAGGTAAATGTCCTGGAATGGCCCAGTTAAAGCCCAGATTCTCAATTCAATTGAGAATCTCTGGTATGATTTAAAGATTGCTGTACACAAGCGGCGCCCATCCAACATGAACTGGAGCAGTTTTGCCATGAAGAATGGGCAAAAATACCAGTGTCTAGATGTGCGAAGCTTGTGGAGATGTACCTGAAGAGACTTGTCGCTGCAATTGCTGCAAAAGTTTGCTGTACAAAGTATTGACTGGGAGGGGGTGAGTAGTTATGCACGCTCAGGTTTCCTTTTTTGGTCATTTCTTGTTTCACAATAAAAAAAATAATTTGCATCTACAAAGTGGTAATTGTGTTGTGTAGATTAAACGGTACACCCCCCCCCCAAAATTCCTTTTAAACTCCAGGTTGTAAGGGAACAAGAGAGAGAGAATGCCAAGGGGAGTGAATACCTTTGCAAGGCACTGTATAACAATCATTTATCAAATAATGTAATGAGGTTTTCAGAGTAGGAAACCTAATATTTTCTTGGCTGATGTAAAGGTTCTTCATGTTAAGTTTTCTCATGTTGGTCGGAGTGTTAAGAAAACTGAGCCTACAATTGTTGCTTCAAGAAAATCCATCTTTTCTCCTGAAGATATGTTAAATGGATTTCTGCTTCACCTTGTAAAACTGACAACCACACCCATTTTATTTTTCAAGAAAATGAAATTCTTAAAATATTTATTTATTTTACATAAATTCTTAGAAAAAAATGTACAAGATGTCTACCATTTTTTATGGTAGGGTGAAAAGAAAAAAAATTACACATACGGGAAAGATCATGTGATTTAAAAAAAAAACAAAGAGCATCTGAAATCCCTTTAATCTGAGATACATGACTAGTTGTTTACAGTAAACTTTTTTAATTGAAGCAACACTGCAAATCATTACACCATTCATTTACATGTATGCAGATTATCCCACATGTATAGTCCAACTGGTTGATGAGTTTGATTTTTCTTTATCTAGAAATAAGTATGCTACTTTGGTTTATATTTAAAAACAGTAATTGCTCATAAAGGGACACAGACTATATATAAGACAGAGTCTACAGCTTCACAAGAAAACAAATTGGTTAAAAATCACTACTCCTGTAAATAAATGCCTTCATATTAATGTTATCAACACACATATATGCACATGAATTATAGGTCTTGCATCTCCACCGCAAAAAAGGTAAAAGCCATTTAACAGGCCTCTAGAGACTGACCAAGTAAAAGTGGGGTGATAGTGGCTGGCTGTCTTTGCTCTTGTCTTCATTTTCACCACAAAGAAAGGTTGAGAGACAGAATATACCTCCAGAATGGTCACCCTTTGACAGAGGCGGACTGGAACATACCCAAACTTCCCAATGGTCAGTCCGCCCCTGCCCTTTGATCAGACGCACGTGTAACACACTTACTCCACTGAGAATTCAACTATTAATTTTATATCAAATGGCTTAATACAGGGAAATTGCATAGACTGAGCAAACTTGATAGTTACTGGTACTCTGTCCAATCATGGAAATAGATCTTGATTTGCAGATTTATTTGAGAAGTGAAGAGGTTCAGACATTCCAATAAGATGTGAGACACATCTATCCTAACTAGAACATCACGGACAACTATTTTGGAGATATTGACTTTACATCGAGGGTGGCCTTACTGTACTGCAAAGTCAGAGGTTATCACCGAAACCCACCATCACGGCCTGGATTTCCTGGACTTTTAGCAGACTCAGGACACTCTGGATTACTTGACCACCCTTGATGTAGTTTTTTCAAAACAAAACTAAAAGAATCAACATACAGTGTTACCACTAACTATGAGTAAATGCTGCTAAAAACATTAAGACAAAATCTATTGGATACATTTTACTTGTATATTATATGCAATTGTACACCCTTTAAAATATATGTTAAGGAATGTTTTGTACATGGGTTGCACAGTTCATGTAACACACAAATACAATGCATATGGAAAAAAGCAGTTTGTACATTATCATTTAAAAAATGTTCAATGTATTTTTCTTTGTGCCCCACTGAAATTTGTCAAGATGGGTTTCATACTTAGTGTCCACTAACTGGTTAAAATCTATTTCTCATATTTTATATAAATTGCTTTTCCACTGAAACAACAATATTTTTTAAAGACTTCATAACATAAAACGAAAAGGCAGAAAATTACAGAAACAAAGGAAAATCCACAGTGTAAATCCTGAAGAGATCCCTTTTCTTTACTCTGCTATATGTGACAGAATTAAAGGTCTGGAGAGACCCACAATTCTCACAGTGCTGGAGCAACCCATCAGCTGAGGGCAACTGGATGCAGAGAGTCTACAGCAGTGTTTCCCAACCCAGTCCTCTGGGAACCCCGGACAGTCCACGTTTTTGCTTCCTCTCAGCTCCCAGCCAATCAGGAACACCAAATACCTGGTACAGGTGCGCTGTCTGGGGTTTCCCAAGGACTGGGTTGGGAAACACTGCTCTACAGGACGGCTAAAGCTGAAGCCTGTATGTTTTGCTACAGGCACACAAACCATAAGGGTGATTAAGGGTCATTGAGTTCAGATAGAGAACACTGTGGAAAACCAGAGTTCATGTATAGCCATCAGTGCTAATTTTGGAGTGTTTATGTGCAAACATATACATCAAGTTTTGTTAACAAATCTATTAGACACGTTACTATTAAGATGACAAGCCCACGACAATGTGTTGGTGACACAGCAATGGCAAACACACTGTACAGACAGGTATAACCACTAAAGCAGTTTGCCTACAAGGTTACTTTGTTTGCCCCTTCTAGACCCACAGAAGGAGTTTTAATTCAAGTGAAACCTTTACAGGATTCGTTTGAGGTGGTTTGACAAATTACCTTTCATTTCTCATGCAATCAACAAAGCTCAGATGTGATTGTCATACAAATTTGTTCACGGGGTTGGAACTTTTACAAAAACATTACCAACAATTCAAGTCAAATGTTCCTTATTCTGCTATATGCAACAGGAAAAACAGTTTTCACCCCACACACAGAATAGGGTAGAACAGATTAAACTAGTAACCTACATAAATGTTTAATTCTCAAATGTAAGAGTTTTGAAATTACAGTAACAAACAAAATGGTACAGATATTCCACAGCAAGCTGAATTGCTATAAATGTTTCCATACTGTAAACATTTCATACAATTATATTTCTGACATGTTCTAACAAAAGCAATTTTATTTGCATATTCTAATAGGTATACAAACCACATTGCCTACCAAGTTCTTTGCACAAAAAAAAAAAATCACTGCTTTTTCACAGTGATTGGGCAACCTTCACTTATTGCTTAAGGTCTCAAACAATCCAATGCATATCTGTAACAATAAAACATGTTAAAAAGATTAAGATGTATTTTACAAAAGAAGGGTGAAGCACATGAATAGTGAGGTCTGTACACTAAAACTGTTCAATACAAACGTGACACATGGTAGGAAAAGATGAAGTTAAAAAAGCAGTATGGTAAATCACACGGCAAACTGGTAAGGTTACCCATGCCGTAGAGGTAAAAATGACACATGACAAATTGCGTTAATAATGACAGACCCCCTTGGTTACTGGCTGAACAAAGTTACCACCACTGCTACTTACGGTCATACTTACATACAGAAGTCAGTACGGCACTGTTGGACTCAGTAAAGGGCCATGTTCTATGTTAAGATCCATCACTTGGGGAAAGGACATACATTTTTTGATAATTAGCTGCATATTAGGGCTGCCTTGACACTGAAGGCAACTGTCTGTCTTCACACTGAATATTACAGTTTTCAGGTTATGCTCGATTGCTTGTCCATCACTTCCGATTCAGATGGCTAGGGCATACAATGACCAGTATAGCAAATGACAGCGCAGTGCCAATTTGAAAAATTTGCAGCTGGAAAACACCAGTATGACGTTTGTAATAGACAGGCAACAGTCCTTTGATGTTGGACATACTGTAGATTCATGCACAAATTCACATTTAAAACATACTAAGGCTAGGATTTAAAAGTAAATAAAAATATCTCTGGCTCTCTGGATACTTTTTTCTCGGGTACGTCTTTGTTTCACTGAAACAAACCAGAACCAGCAACGCTTAAAGCCTTTCATCCCTCTGAGTATGACAGTGCTTCTATTTCCGTAGGCGTGGTGCCGATAACAGAGACACAGACGCACATCTAAAGCTCTGCTAATTTTCCAAGTCCACTGTAAATGTCCTCTGGAATGAGCGGCTCCACACCTGTTCCTTCGCTGAATGCACGGGGAAGCCATAGTACTGCCTTGCATTCTTATTGCCACTGCTGATCCGTGGCAAAAACCTTTAGCTGAAATAACTTACTTTCAGAATAAGATCGTTTTCAGAACTTTGTTGTTATTAATATTACAGTAGAGAATCTAATTTGGCAACTCTGCAGGCAGTCACCTCTCGCTGACCTAAGGAGACTGGGCACCCCAAGAGCGTATCAATCAAAGCAACCCTAGAGACGAAGACCCTACGTCTCCCAAGCCGACTGCTCATGGAGAGCTCCGGCAACATCACAAATCCTCGTCCACGCTGAAGCTGCTCCTGCGGCTGCTGCTCTTAGAGGCTCCTGGGGACACGGAGGAAAGGAGAGGGTCGGCGGCCCCAACGGGGGATAGGGCGCACCCCTCATCCATGAGAATACCCATGTCTGACATTAGGGTCGATTCGAAAGTGGTGTCCGACATCATGGCAGGGTCAAAGGCCGTGGCGGAGGGATCATCCATCCCAGCAAAGTTCAAAGCATCCAGATCAAGAGGGTTGTTGGAGGCCAAGCCTGCTGGGGGGGCAGAGCCCAGAGACAGAAAGGAGGCAGACTGCGGTGCGATCCCACCTCCGATTCCCGACCCTCCCAAGGTGATGAGGTTCTGGGACAGGACGCCCCCGGATCTGGACTCTAGTGCTGGGCCAGCAAGCGGCTGCTGCTGCGGATGCCGGTCTTGGTCGGAGGCCAGGGTCGGGGAGGCAGACGCGGTGAGGCCATGAAGACGGGCCTGCATCTCCAGTTCCTGCGGACGCAGCAGCAAACGCTCATGTCAGTGTTAGGCCAGCTCTCACTGGCACTGGGAAACCACTGAACCCAGCACCTTTTTAGATCACAGAATTTGGTGGAATCCCTGCACTACCTAACAGCACTAAACACATGCCCCTTGATCTCTGTTCCATCATCTAAACGGCGTGATGGAAACATCAAGGTTATAAAACATTAATCATTTAACACAACAACTATTATTCTGTGAAATTAACCTTTTAATTTACCATCTGTTTAGCAGTCATGCCTGGAACATTTTCAATCCCTACTTTCAATAACTATCAGTCTTATATGTTACTTCTGTATTTTTGTCTTTTTGATTATAAAACTTCAGATTTGTGGGCCAGATTCAAGTTTTTCCACAGTATTCCTCCTGGGTTGAAGTCCGGACTTTGACTCAACCAGCCTCAAGACAAATATGGCTTCTTCCTCCTTCGGAATCACTGCCCTGCTGCAGGACTCATTTTCAGCGCACGGGCAGAGGGCCAGCCATTCCCCAGGAAACTTCAGTATGACTCACAAACCCATCATTCTCTCAGTGATGACAGGCCATCCAGGCCCTCGGGCAGAAAAATCAGCCCCAAACCATCTTAGACAGTTCGAACAAGTTTATTCCAGTGTTAAGACTTGTTTGGTTGGTCCCTTAAGTATAGCTAAAAACAAGATGTCAGGCCATCTAGAGAATGTTCTGTTTAGCTGACTTTATATTACTGAACACAAGCAGCAGCTCCAGCAAAAATAAAAAAAAAAAAAGAACCGGATTCCCCATCCTTAGCCCCAGGAGTTACTACAGTTGTAAACATTCCCCATTTGTTTTTCTGACAGTAGACTGTACAAAACAATTCGTAATGCTTTAGAACATGACTGCAGCACACAGACGACCCCACCTGAGGCCATTCGAACTCCTTTGCATAGCTGCATGGCAAACCACAGACGTTATTCTGTACCACTAAACAGTCCTTGTAATAGACTCACATACAGTACCAGTTAAATAGATACCCAATTAATTATGTAACAGACTGCATATAGCCTGCTAAGCAGGCTAAATTTTCAGTTCATTTAATCTGCAAATACTCCATGCAACTTCTAACTGCTTCTGATCAGGGTCTCAACCAGAGGTTATGAACCCTTTTCCCCCCAAAGAAAACCAATAATTCATTTAAATTAAATGAAAACTTGACATTACCAACTTAACGGAAGGCAGTGTTTTCGAACTGGGTCCTCGGGCACCTTCAGACAGCCCATGTTTTTGCTCCCTCCCATCTCCCTGCCAGACAGCCCACGTTTTTGCTCCCTCCCATCTCCCTGCCAGACAGTCCACGTTTTTGCTCCCTCCCATCNTCCCTGCCAGACAGCCCACGTTTTTGCTCCCTCCCATCTCCCTGCCAGACAGTCCACGTTTTTGCTCCCTCCCATCTCCCTGCCAGACAGCCCACATTTTTGCTCCCTCCCATCTCCCTGCCAGACAGTCCACGTTTTTGCTCCCCCCCAGCTCCTGGTGGACTGCCTGAGGGTCCCCGAGGACCAGGTTGGGAAACACAAACATAAGGGGTATCCAAACTTTCAAATGTTAAAGAAAAATTTTACAATTGGGAAATCACTCTAAGTAAGAGCACTTTCATTTTAGATCTCTTCCAAGAACAGCCTGAGAACAGGCAGGCTACACTTCTGACATACTCCAAGGAAGGGCACAAACAGCTTCTTTCTTTTGATCTGGTCTGAAGCCTAACAGCGGCGCTCTCAACACCATTCTGACTGGGCTCAGCAGGACACCTGACCTGGACCCGCAGCAGCAGGCTGCGGTTAGCGTGCTCCAGCCTCTTCTGCCTCATCTCCATCTCCTCCACCGAGGCCTTCAGGATGGTGCCCTTGTTCCAGCGCATCTCCCTGTCTCCACGGAAGTGTGGAGAGACAGTCATGTAAAGCGACCAATCAGAGGGGCTCATTCTGCTGCAGTGGTCTTAGAAAAAACAAATCTGATAGGCAATGAGGATTTTTGACTTTTGTTTTTAGCTGCATGCTACACAGCGACTGCCTTAAACACTCACGGGTCGCTTGACTTGGGAATGAGTGCGCCAAGTTCCTTGATACGGTCATTTATATTAAATCTCCGCCTCCTCTCAACTGTGCAGAGAAAATACAAATCAGATCGGGTCCAAAGGAGGGAAGGACACAGACTCCTCTGTGACTCAGGGACACAGAGGGAAAAACTGGCTAATCTGTGACTGTAACTCACTCAGGTTGTGGTTGTCCTTCTTCTGTCGCTCCTTCATGAGAGCCTTTGCCTCAGCATCTGCAATAAGAGTGTAAAATCCAGTCCACAGAATGAAACCTATAATATACATAGGGAGAAACACCACAAAGACTGACAGCTGTCATCAAATGGATAATGGATATATTAAGCATTTTCAATTTATAGGACAAATCACTGAGAAATGAATACAGAAACTGTGAAAAACAGTGACGTGAGAAGGAACTGAATGAATAGTGCAGCGTCATACCAGTCAGCTCCTTCTTGACGTTGGGCAGATCTGCCGGGCAGGAGTTGCTGACAGTAATAGCAGGAGCTGCCATTTGTGTTGTGCTGAACACATCCAGCACATTACCCGACACAGGCAACTGAGGAGGGAAGAATCACAGCCACACCCAGGTAATTATCATCAAATCACACAAGGTAAAGCTTGAGAGGAATCTAACAAGCTCATGTCCACAGTCACACTTTATTATTATTCAACACAAAGTAGATAAGGAATCAAGGAACTGTCAGCAATGTGGGTCCTTCCCTTTTTTAAAAGCAGTTTTACAATGCAGAATGGGTAATACACACAAACTACTATACAGGAAACCCAGAACTCATCCATCCTATTAGCAGCGCGGTACGCAGACATATAACGTATTTGCTAAACATGCATTTAACATTAGGACCACGAGGCACCTACATGTCGTCAAGACGAAACAGATTCAAAATTCAAGTGGCCACCCACATAGACAGAAGCTGTACACAGCACGAGTTTTATTAAAGAAACAGCAGCCTGGAGTAGAGTTGAGAGACGGAGACATTCAAAGCGCCGATCTAAGCTGTAAAGCCATGACTTCCTCAGCTGCGGACAGACGGGCGCTAAACAGACAGACCCTCGCTTATGTCTCACTTCTTCCTGCTAGTGACAGAAAGCCCAGAGAGGCTAAGCTGCACTGTCCACTCGGAGAGACGAAAACCACGGCGTTATTCAAAAATGCAAAGTAATGGGAAACAATGAGAGTTTTCTCAAGTCTCCTTCCCCTTTTCTCCAGCCAGGCAGAAGCACACATGGTAGACCAACCATGTCTGTGAGCCGGCCACCATTTTTGTGGTATGCAAGGATACTTACTTCTAACATGTAAATGAAAGACAACTCATCGCTTTTCTATATAACACCGCAGAGGGATATACAGAATTTCCAAAGTTAGTAGGTAACTTAAACAAAAACATGAATAACTTGCCATTTTTACCTGTCTTCTCTTTTCATACTCCTGCAGCAACAACAAAATCCTCATCTTCTGCCTGACTGCAAGTTTACCTTCCTCTTTCACTGAAGACAGTTATGAAATGGGGAGTACCGGGAAAAAACAGAAAGGAAAAAAAAAAAACGCTCCACAGCGTGCTATCTGCTGTCTGCATGCTGCCACACCCCCTGGTGTCCATCTACCACACCCTCTCTGCTGCTGCAGGCAGACCCCACCCAGTGTCCCTCCCGTCAGACATGTGTCACCACCAGGAGTCACTTCCCACTTCTGGGCAGCTCTTGCACACACCTCTGCCTCGTTCTCCCTTCCCATCCCCCTGGCTGTGGTTTGTCACGAAAACCTCCCAACGAGCGGCACGAGTTTCTCAAAGGGATCCGTTCCGTGTCATACAAACGGGACAAAAGAAACAAAGCCAATGAAAGCTCTTGTCAAACACCGAAACAAAAACTTGCAAAAATTGTGTGCTTGATTGACGCCTCTCTTACATTCCATGAAATGTTCTTAAATGTTGCACTTCAGCTCATTGAATAGTCTTACTAGCTTCTTGCTTTGCTTGGAAGATGTTGTGTAGCTCCTGCTCCAGTCCTTCTTACACTCTTACATGGGCCTTCATTGGAAGCTCAACCTACTTATATCAAAGTCGGCTCCTTAACAACCTATTTTTGTAACAACCTATTGGCCTCACTTGTACATTGCTTTGGATAAAAATGCTGGCAAAATAAATGTAAATGCAAATTGTTGCAGATTTTTGCTTTTAAAAAACATTTGCACGACATAGCATTTTTAAAACACAAGAATTAATTTACTGCCTGATGGAATAAGCAAGGACAATTTATTTTGGAAATTCACCACAAAACTGCATATGGGCCTATTATCAGAGATGGTGGTCAGGACAGCCCTCTGATAATGGCCCAAGCTGAATTACAGATCAGATAAATAACAGGTGGATGGGATCCCAGCTTAAACAAAAAAAACAGATCACATTTCATGCCAGTGAATCATGACAAAAGCACACAGGTATACAGATATTGCATTCACCCCCATTCAACATACCGTGTTGCGCAGCGGTAGGCCGGAATCGATCAAGGTCATGATGTCATCATTGAAACTTGATTCCATGCTAATGATATCATCAATGACATCAATCTGCAGAGTGGGTGAAATGAAGATTAAAAGTCAGCAAAGATGGCCTTTTGTCCCCATTCCCACCCCCCTCACCGCCCCCACCCCCAGTCAACAAGACAATGTCAGAAAGACAAACGCAATACCTGGATGGTTTATAACTATATTCAGACTAGCAGAAACATTTAAAAACATAGGGAGAATACATCACACAGGTTATCAGTCATTTTCTGATGATGGGCAGCACAGATCCTGAGTGAATTACCTTCTTTCACACAGAAAGACTTTCATCTCAAAGAACTTTTGTTCTACCCTCAGATAACGAAATGAATAGTTTAACCTGCTGAACTTGCAGCTTAATTTTGCATAAGTACAAACCTACAAGGCAAATGTGGCATTTTCCATCTATAGCTCACTAGACGCTACGTGCCGATGTCATTAAGGCCCCGGTGACTGTGGCAGCATGCTGTGGTTCTCCGCCACACAGCCACACATACTGTACAGGAGACTGGGTCCCACAGAGGCCAGAGGAGCGAGACCTGATAAGCCTTTCAAGTGCACCGTTTACCCGCTCCGATTTGGAACAATGGTACTTGATCATTCAGAGGCTCCGGGGCTTGTTTAGTTTAGATAAACAGAAATCCTTCTGCAAAGATTTAGAGAAACTACTGTTTTTTTTTTATTTAGTAGTAACCTTAAGGCACGGAGCTTAAGATGGTCACACTACATATTGCTCGTAATGATAGTGTGTAGGTTTTTTGTTTTTTTTTGTTTTTTTTACAGATAGGTAAACACCTATACACAGACATCCGAGTGTCTGCTGTCTGCATACTGCAGTTTACACACCTCCTCTTTGTTGGAGCCCAGGTTCAGCAGGGCCATGGGGCTGTTGGGGGTGCTGCCTGGGGCCGGGGCCAGCTCGGGGGCGGAGCCAGACTGCGGCGAGGGCGACGCTGCCAGCGCCTGGTTGGCCACCTTGTTTCCATGGGTGGTGGACAGGTACTGCTTGACCTGCTGCCGCTGGGCCTGCTGGATGTGGTACTTGGTGGGATTCTCAAGATGGCTCTGCACCTGTGAGCCACACAGGGTGAACACCGCTGGTCAGAGGATTCAGAAAGTACGTGAGGATGGCTACCAAGAGTGGTTAAACTGGGCACCACTGATCAGCCACAGCATCTTACCCTGAGAACCTCTGCAGGCACCTGCGCCGGGGTCTGGCGGGCGGCGGAAGAGGGTACCGAGACAGAGATGGCGGGGGATGAGTCGGCGGGCCGTAGCTGGGCTGTGGAAGCCTGCTGCTGGGCCTCGCGCCGCTCCTGGTCTCGGGTCTGCTCCCGCATCAGCTGCTGACGCAGCAGCACACGTGACGTCATGGCAGAGCCCGTCGGGGGGGAGGGGGAGGCCTGGGTCACGGAATGGCTGCGGGAACGAGAGGCTACAGCTCACATGGGATGAAGGACACCTGCTGGGAGAGCTTACCTTCCAGAAGAGATAACTATCTTAAAACAAAGTGCAAACGGATGCCATTTAAACACATCTGACATCTACAGCAGTAACTGTCCCCCATTTGACATTTTTTGTTGAGAAGGCCATTTACACTGCGCAACGTCCACCATGACGATTCAGCACGGGCTCGACACATTTAAGCTGTATGCTGCTGGGTGCTGCATAGTAGGCCTCTCTATTAATATGGGAAAGCATCAGAGCATGTGGAATCTTACAGTTCTTAGTTATGATGAGGAATTTAATTTATTACAATAAATTAAAATGGATGGAACTGTGGGGTCCCATGGCTATAAAGAAATGAAGAGGTGGTCCAATGAATCACTTGACAGTTAATGTGTGATTGCTTCAATGCAACACATACAATTACTTTAATCTCCTAAGCTCCAAGTTTTGGGAATTTTTTCCCTTCCAGTTAATTGCTGTTTCCTAGAAGTAAGTGTACTGTGAAAACAGATGTTTTCTGCTCTGCCTATGTCAGGTGTGCGGCCGTCAGGTAAGCAGAGAGCCACAGAAATGGGAGGAACTCATTGAGAAACACCCCACTGGCAACGCAAAAACTAGAAAACTCCTACTAATTGCTCCTACAATGATAAAAAGTTCTTCATAAAAATGTGCTTTTAAAAGAGTACTCAAAACAAGCTAATTTTCATAGATATCCAAGGCTACATTTTGATTAAACATCTTATTTCACAGAGTTGCGCAATTACACTGTTATTCATAAGACATTAAACATACAGAATACAATTAATTCATTGATACGTGGAGGCTTGTGACACTTTTTCAGAAAATGATGAGTTTAATTTGCATTACAGCTCTATGTGTGCTGCATTACAGCTCTGTGTGTGCTGCATTACAGCTTTTTCATTTCACTGCTATGATGAAAACACTTACACTGAAACCTGAAGTTCTAAAATCTCCAGTCGTCAGCTAGCCTCCCCATGGATGACTCATTGTCGCCAAAAGCTGATCTGGTCAAACTCCTCACCAGAAATTCTCCCCCAGCTCCAAACCCGCCACCCTTTTGCTAACTGGCAGAAACCTTCAACAACAAAGCTCTCCTCTTCTGATCCTCCAGACCATGAATGCCGACACTGCCAGTGTGGAACTCCACTGGATATCATGTGTCCAATCCTGTAGTAGTGATGACATCCTACAGCTCACTCACAGCTCTGGGGCTAGCTAATGTCTCTCCAGTGTCCATAGGTCACAGAAAGGCCCCACCCTTTGCATTCAATTTCTGCCACATGTCAATGTGACCCCCTTCACCCTTTGGCTGCTCCTCTCTAGCCTCACATAATGGGAAAGATCACCACTATTCTGCTGGTGTGAGTTATAATGTTTATTTCTGTGAGAGAAAGGACTTCTATCAGGAAGGAGCCAACTACTACAGGTGCGGTGATCCTCAGTGTTACTGGAGAGGCCGTAGTATCTCAGTAAAAAGGTCTCCCAAATGGCACGGAGTACTGTCCCTTTCTTGGAAGAGTAACATATTTTCTGTTCTGAAGACAAAGATTTGCTGTAAACCTTGTTACGGCAGAATGCTGACGCAAGCAGAGCAGGAAGCATCTGTTTTCACAGTACACTTACTTCTAGGAAACAGTAATTAACTGGAAGGGAAAAAATTCCCAAAACTTGGAGCTTAGGTGATTAAAGTAATTGTATGTGTTGCATTGAAACAATCACACATTAACTCTCGCTTAATTCACTGGACCACCTCTTCATTTCTTTATAGCCATGGGACCCCACAGTTCCATCCATTTTTAATGAATTGTGTCAATTCCCCATCAAAACTAAGAAACCACTTCATATCAAACACTGTAAGATTCCATGTGTTCTAATGCTTGCCCAGATAACTAGAGGGGGTTACCAGAAGCCACCAGCTCCAATGACCTTTGGCACAGATTCCACAGCTGGAGCTGAACTCGGGGGATGGGACACCATTATCTCATGTGATATTTCATCCTCTGGGGTTTTGTTGATGAAAGCAGAAAATGTTGTGCTTAGGAGTGGTTTCTGAATCTCCAGGGTTGTAGGGAACAAAACCCCTGGTACTGAGGAGACCTAATCCAGGCCAGACATGCACCACTCATCATAACAAAGCTGCCTGAACCCCTTAGAGTGGCAGACTGAGCATTTCATTCGAATCCCTAGGCTTCTTTTGTGCACTGTGCATGTAGCAGCCTGCCTGTTGAGAATAAGAGGAAAAATGACTCATCTGACAGTAAATCTGTTCCACTACTCCAGAGACCACATTCTGTGCTGTCTGTACCATTCTAGTCGCTGGATTGCATTGCATAAATTCCTTATTACACATAAAACACTGCAGCTCAAGAAGTCTGACAGACTGTACTCGCCGACTGCTGGTCGTAATGCCAGTTATGAATCTCACGGCCACAAGCGTGCACTCTCCTCTACGGTAGCCACAAAAAATACAGAAGATACAAACTGTTTACTTACCAGTCATCATTCATACAAATAATTTTTGGCACCAGATCAGTGCCACAACCCCTGTCAGTCATGTCTGGACTAGACCATCTCAAAGAAATGTTCTTCTATTTCCATTCTAGTGGACTTTCCAATGAGTTTCAAAATGCCTGGAATTAGCTGCAGTTTCAAAGTTTCTCCATTTGCCCATTGAGGGTGACCATTTACTGGCAAATTACAGGAGCCCTAAATGCATCTGCAGCTCCTGAGACCCTTAAGCGTGAGGCCTGGTTTACCTACCAAACTCATCAGCTAATAGCTGCACTCGGATTACAAGAGCCAACATGTCGCAGATTTTTAACGGGAAAGACACAAATCGCTACTTAAGTTAATTATCACTTTCGCTGTGCTTGCACGTGAGCAAGTTTGATTACCTGGCACCATAGGCCTTACTCATGGGAGAGGAGGATTGATATTCAAGACAGCAGTGTTTGTCCCATCCAATATTTCCCAGGACTTTGGTTTAATATGACTAAACCTGTCAAGAGAATTCAGTCGTCATCTAACCTAATGACCGAGGGAATTTTTTTTTTTGCATACACATAAACGAATGTATACAGTCAATATTAAAACAGACGGGTAGCCTATATATAGGTACAATATACGAGGTCATATAGGATTGTGAGAGGGTGGATGTGACTTAGTCACTTAGTGTATCTGTCTCTGTGCCTCCCCAATATTAAAAAACACAGTGATGCTCTTACCTGCCACAACAAATAAATGAAAGAAGATATTCCAACTATCAAAATATGCACAATATCAGTTTTCTGCTTTCACGCTCCCTTCCCAGCCTTGGCCACTAAGATAAGGAGTGCCACTTTCCTTCCCAGTCTGGGATAGTTTCCTCCCCAGCCTTGGCTGCTGAGAGTGAGTACCACTTTGTTTTATATTAGGCCCAGGTGCAACAACTAGAAATACAATGTTCTGTCTGCATAGACTTAGACAGTAGTATCTGTGAATTATGCTGTAATCTGACCCCTCCTGAAGGCTCTATAACTGCCCTGAGAAATGGGTCATCCGTTCTCGCTGCCCCCACACCTGTTGCTGTGTGTGTGTGCCCTGCTCGAACAGAGGGGGAAATTACGCAAAAGCTGGATCACTTTAGTTCTACTCGAGTGGAAAATAAAATAGTTTCTTCATATACAAACCAACTCTCTGGATGGAATTACTAAAACAGTTTACAATTAGGTAAAAACTGCAAATTAAATTCACATGTGGTATTTTAAAAAGCCAAACGGAAGTCCTATATGCAGCCCTTGACTAGTGTGCGAGGGCTCAATCATATGAAAGATAAGAAGCCTATGCAAAGTGCCGCTAAACTCTCAAAACCTGCCTAGTGACGATCGTTATTTCCGTACATTTTTAAAAACAAACAAACTCACAGAATACAGTACTTTTCATAACACAGGACTGATCAAGTGTGCGATTCTAGCTTTGACTACAGGGAATTTCCACCGGCCTTTCATGTCTGCTTTTCATAATTTACATTAATGTTCAATTATCAAAGTGATATTTATGATTTACTCCGGAGAAAATAAAAAAGGGAAATGAAAATGCTGTCTTTGCTGAAAATCAATTAATAATTTTTAAGGATGAAATCTTGAATGGAAAGCATTTTCACAGCAGATCAATCATGTTCCGCCAAGATAGGAGGGAAATTAAAAGACGTGGCCTGTTCCCACCGGCATGTTTTTGGTACCAGATATAATCCTCCGGGAGAGAGCCACAGCCAGCAAAGATCAGGGGAGTGTCTGAATGCTGGGACAGATGGCTGTGCTCACCTGATGGTGATCGGCTGGCTCTTGAGTTGGTAGAATGCGTCAGTGTCAGAGGACAGGATGTTCTCCAAGTCTATGTCAGCAACAATTCCGGACTCGGACAGGGGGGGATCCACACTGGTGAATAAACCACAATACAACAAGCTGTAACATCTGAAGAGGAGCAAATGAGACACACTGAGAGTGACAAGGGGGGAAAAAAAACTGTCTGCCGTATACGGTTGCAGTTCCCCTTCCTGAAGGAGAACAGAAAGGCCAAATATACATTAAATGATGGCTACATTAAATATCCAGTACCAAAAAATGCAATTCCTTCTGCAAAACAGTCAAAATATTAAACTTAGAGATGCACCGATCCGATATTCTGATCGGTAACGGCAGCGATCCAGACCTATTTAATGGAATGGTTATTGGCCATACTATTTACATACTAAAAAGATAGCTGCTATTTCATATTTAATCTATTTGTACAATCGCACGACAGCTCTCTCCTATTTTAGATACGTTTTTGCGGCATTCAAGCTTAACGCTAACGCTGCCACTCAGATTTTTGCTACTAAGTGGGTGTGAACGCAGTGACTTCTGCCTGCTGTGACATCATGCACATACCCTTTGCAATATGAGGAGCATAAAATATCATAAGAAGGTGACGATCCAGGACTGTTTTACACTTAACAGCAACTAGTAGCACAGCGACTTGCAATCCTTGTAAAAACAAAGTTTTGAGAAGTGGGGGTAGCATTTAGTGGAAAATCCCTCTGAACAAAACGCAATTGTGTGAGACAACGCGAGTAAAATGAAAAAAATCAATCGACGGTTTGGGAGTTGCTGGCTTGGGCTGTATTGTACACGTGCTACAGCTTAGGATACATGATGGGCTGCTATCACAATGTGTAAGAGACAACGTGTAAGTGATGCTGTTGCCAAAGGGAGAAAAAATGTGGGGAATCTTAAGCATTTGTCACTTGCCTATATGCTTTGGAAGATATTCAAACTGAACTGCAAATGTCTCAAAACGCTTAAAACAAGGCGTATAAACGAGGTCGAACAGTGCATTATGTATGTTTCTAGTAGCCTAATTAAAGATTTTTTGGCATACATTTTTCATTTGTATTAGCTTAAAAATGTGAATAGTATATAAAATATAAGCATATCAAAAATATTTCTTATATTAAAATATTAAAGTAAAAAGATCTCATATCGAAATCTGTATCGGTATCGGCAGTGGTGTATCAGAATTGGATCAGAGCTGAAAAAATGTGGATTGGCCCATCCCTAATTAAATTCTAATTTAACAGTCCTTTTTTATCTATTATCCAAAGAGACATTTTTTGAGAAAGCTAATTCAGCCAGTTTTGGAGCAACTGGGGTTAAGGGCCTTACTCAAGGGTCCAATAGTGAGATCACTCTGCCATCCCTGGGATTTGAGCCAACAACCTTCTGATCACAGGTACAGCATCCTAACCCACCGAGTCACACACTGCTCTGAAGTAGCAGACTAGATAAGCAGACTGATTGCTAGCTTCATGTTTACATTTGCTTCAGTCCATGCAATTCATTCATCATCACCAGGCTTTGACCGACCCTCCACAGACTATGCTGAGAGGAGCCATAAAGGAAGATCTGCGGGAAAAAAATTATAAAACCTGCATAAAGAGATAAGGGTGGGGGAGATATCACTGTACTGTAAAACATGTCCTGACAACACACCAACTGACATTTCCATGCTGTCAACATTGCAGGAAGATTTCTCAAAGAGCACATCTGACCGCAAATTGTGGGGATAATGCTGAGGCAGCAGTGTAAGCCACATAAAAAAAAAAAAGCCAAAAGAAGGAACACGGAGGCAGGGGTGCACAGGCCATGAAACGCGGTGCAGGCACTCAGCGAGTCACCAGATAAAAAATCTCCATGTTAAAAGTACTGCACTCTGACTGACATAGGATTAAATTCCAAATGTGTAAGCAAAATAATAATAAAAATAATAATAATAATAATAATAATAATAATAATAATACATAGGTTGTGATTTTTTTATTTCACAGAGTTCTAGGCACTTAAATGCATTACATAAACAAAATAAATTTGGTTTTGTTAATTTTCACAACAATGTCACATAGTGTCACAACAGAACCATAGGAGAAGCTTTCGATGGAAACACCAGTCAAAAACAGCAGCATGGCATTTACATTTGAGAACAACGACAACGCATGATTGCTTCATTTCAGTTATATAGCCAGAATGGAGCCACAGTTCACATTACTTGACTGAATTTAAAAACAAAAACATTTCTTTAAAAGGTACTTCTTAACGTGAAATATGCTTTAAACACCCCTATCTTCCGCATAACCAGGACAAGGTCGCGGGAATGTATTGAACAGTTTTCTATTTAGCAGCTTTCCTAGATGACTTTAAAACCGCACCACTTCCTTCCAGTAAGTATACTGCATTATCTGTATTTGTGTATGCATACATATTTTGTACACATGCACACAGTCAACAATACAGATATATTATGCATACACGCAAAATACTGCTACGCAGATAGACACGTCAGTAACAGAACGCCCCAGCAAAACAAAACCCCTGAAATAACGCAATCCTATGCAGGTCCAGTGACATGTCACGAGCCCAGAGCTGCCGAACGTGTCCGAGCCCAGAGATCCCGAAGTCGGGCATCCCGAATGTAAACACAGCCGCCGGCCGGAACAGCCGCCGATCGCGTTACACACGCATCCAAAGGAGGCGCTTCACACGGATACCGCCAATCAACGCGTTCATATTCCGGCCACATTTTATTATTAATTAAGAAACTTACATGTGAGCAGTCGGCAGCGGGCCGAGAAAAGCCGCAATTAATGTAATGCGCAGTATTTCTCCCCAGCGAATCCCTCAGTCGGTAGCTAGCTAGCCTTCCCTACATACATAGACATCTCCGCTTCGCCTCGTCACAGAAACTTAACTTGCTCTTTATTCGATCTCCACCATTCGAGTCACAATAACAATGTCCTTGTTTCGTGGTCTTCAGATCGCGAGCCCCGGTTTGCCATTTCGACCGAGGAAACGCTCGCTAACCGGCTAGCAAACGAGTGCAACAAATTCGTGTAAAACCCTCACTGACCGGACGTGTTTAGTCCGCATATATGTATACTACACTTTGTATGCATCGAAAACATATGGCTGTAATCCGCTTTGAATGCAGTCAAATAATTCAAGTGATGTAGCTTCGACCATGAAGACACGACTCAGATTTACTAAAAATAGTGAGAACAAGCAAATAAGACGGATGCTGCTCTGTGGCCGCAGGAGGGAGCCTCTCCGCAGGGCTGCGATCACAGCGCTTCGAAATACACGCAGTGATCGTCTCATCAGTTTCGCAGGTTTCTAATAGACATACGTTTATCTCAATAAGTTTTTAAATATTTTGCTTTTAGGGCGCCAAAAGGTATAAATGACTGAAACGGTAATGTTAGAGGTAAAGGGATAAGCAAGTACACACTGACACAAAAGCAAGGGCGAATAAGCGTACTAATGAAACCAAAGGCTCACAGAAAATAACTATAGAGATTATGTTACACATGGGCAGAGAATAATGTTTCTGGTCATAGGCTTACAGTTTAACTGGAATTATCACAGTAGAACATTAATGTAAAAATGAGGGGAAGGAATGCTAAATTTAGCAGCAAAGACAATCTCAATACACACGAGGCAAAGCAGATACGTCAGGCAGAAATGCCAGTCAATGCACAGCATTCATATGTATATGATACACTAAGGATGCTTAGAGCAGGGATAGGCAACCCTGATCCTAAAGTGCCGGCAGGTTTTCTATCCTACCTGGTTTCTGATGAGCCACACCTGATCTCAAGCAGATAGCAACTCATCTGGTAGGATAGAAAACCTGCTGGATACCGGCACTACAGAAACAGGGTTGCCTACCTCTGTAAAGTCACCAATTCACCTGATCTGCATATGTGAAATTATGGGAAATCCTATTTGAAAGCACAAACCATAATGCCAAGTGACGTAGTTCCAGACAATGGCAGAAAATTTTATAAATATAAAAAGAGAACAGAAGAGTAAAAAACACTGAAAACTCTAATAGAGGCTCTTAATTCTTAAAACATGCTTTGAGGCATTTCTAGTGAGTTGACAGCAGGTGAATAATGTTGAAATCAGCAGGACAGCAATAATCCCAGCTAAGAATTCCACAGGAAGTAAGAGAAAAAATAGCTTTGGGGGAATATGCTGAGTCATGTCCTCAGCTTCAAAGTCCACAGACATTCAGTAAAAGCAGAACCTTATACATTTTAATGAAAGGGTTGTGGAATGTTACAGACCAGCACTCAAATGTACAAGCCAAAGAAGTTGCGGTCTTTTGCCAGTCCTTTCACTCCCAGTTTCCCACAAAGTCTGACTCAGAATCTTGCTTATAAGTTCAGTATTTACATGACTATTACATCTCCAGCAGACGTACAAATACACATACAGTAAAACTTCAAAAACCTTTCCTGAATTTAAATGTAACATTTGTTATACTATACACAACTCTGTTTATAAAGTAAGTATTATCTCCAGCTCTCATAAATCATATAACACAATTTGTCTAAACAAATTTGTGATTGGGGCAAGCTAAGGAAACCACAGAACTGTGGCTGAATTTCTGGGTAACGCTGCCATGCCGGGTATTAATGACACACACCAAACATCCCAGGGAATTATTAGATTCCTAGAAAATTATGCTGAGTTTTCTCATTTCTTTGCTTGGCTTATTCTGAGACAGGATTACAGTTTTGGCAGTATAAAGCCACATGCAGTTACTACAACTTCTTTGCATTTTACAATTTAGAATTTTGTGATCAGTGGTCATTGCTGACACACCACAGCACACAACAACGAAATGTGTCCTCTGCACTTAACCCACATGTGACATCGGGACATAGCAGGGGGCAGCTAATTCAGCGCCCGGGGAGCAGTGTATGGGGGCAGTACCCTGCTCAGGGTACCTCAGTGGTACCTTGCTGGTCAGGAATTCAAACAGCAATCTTTCAATTACAAGTGCACTTCCCTAACCATTAAGCCACGACTGCCCACACGTTATTATGCTGACATGATCAGAAACATATACGGACAAATAATTACACTGCAACAAATTAGTGATTTTATAGCATAATATAACATAATATAATACTAATGTCAACAGGTTCCTAATTTCCCCTAGATTCAGTCTACAACAGCTACTAGTTTTACTTTGTTCTATTTACTATGAAAGGAAATTCCATTTTGTTTGCTGAGAGGCAGTGTAAGCAAGCTCTGCAAGAAGTCCATGAGAATGCAGAATGAGTCATCAGACTCAGTCTACAGCCACCATTGCATGTTAATTACACTTCTGAACTAAATGAAGAAACAAAGGAGACTTTGTTTATAAAATACTCGAGCTGGGGGCTCAGTGGGATAATAACGATAACTAAATACATTACAATTTGACCCCTTTCCCGGGAACCATCAATTAGAGCTGCCAAATAAATGTGCACTCATGCTTAACAAAAATTACAAATCTCACACAAACAAACAGTGCATTGTAAATGTATGGTGAATACTTTAAGAAATTCAATAATTTTACAAATTCAAATATGTATCCAAAGGACTCTATCACCAAATCACACGAGTAACGGTATTGCTTCGGAGTATGAAATAACAAAAGCACGGTATTCTAATCTGTAAACCGGATTTTCATTACTCAAATTTCCATTACTAAACCACATCGAGGAACAATGTATATAATACAAAAATACTATGGATGACCGTTAATTTCTTTGAAACGCATTTTATACGAGGACGATTATGTGAAATACGGGTTCTCTCTTTTTACAGACGCATAAATTCCCACATACAAAACGTTTATCAAATATGCACCGTTATAACTTAACTATCTACGTCCATTGCTGAATTAGCTATAACGTGTAAATATATTATAAAATACGATCACATCACTGTCAAGACGACAGTTTTATACTGCGCCAGTAAATTCTACATCAAGCCAGTTTATTATATTTCTACAAACGTGTGTAAGGACAGTGAGGGCTCCTGATATTTTCCGCGAACATTATATATTGTTAATTTCGCGGGCACCATTTGCAAACGCCCAGCGTTTCATTTTGAGATGTTGCCAGTTTCATCGATGCCCGGAAAAGTAAATCAACACGGCGTTCCCAAATACAGAATCAAATTATGTGATAGGCAGTGGGAGACGACCCACGTCGTGATTACTGCCCACTGCACAACATCTTTGTGCAATTGAAGTATTGACTGTGTCGCAACAAAGATGAAAATGTGATTAGTACCTACAACTAAACTTTGGGGGTTACTATTGCAATGAGATAAACGACTCAAAAGATCCACGCTGCACGGGCTATGGCAACATGAATGGAATGAGTATACTTACAGCTAATCTAAACTTCCAGGTAATTAAAAGTCAATCGATCACTTTTAGGTCTGCATTTCAAGCACGACTGCGCTTATTGCCCTGACCCCCCCGCAGAGAGCTCGTGAGGCGGGGTACTCAGCTGGCCACTGGGCCACTTTCATTTCGCCAGCTACTTAACCGATGTTGGACAGTTACGTGTAATTAGCTGACCCACATTCCTGGCAACAACAACATATGCTAACTAGCCAGCAACGTGACTCGTTAGTAGTTACGAGCTACAGCTTTAAATGCAATGACTTGTCAATAAACAAGTGCGCGTGAAGGGGGTCGTTCATAGCATGACAACGTACGTGGCTACAGTCAGTAAAACCACAACAACCAGCTTACCTTGGAAAATTCACGGCGTTCAGCGGAACTACATTACTAATGTGAATCTATTCGGTAAAACCGCTATAACCAGCTCACCTTATGACGGTGTCCACGGATGAATCGAGAATGACATACACGGTCTGGGCTGGGTGTCCAGGTGACACTAGCGGGCTGGGTGAGTCCTGGTACAAATCTGCTGCCGACGTGAGCAGCAAGATCTTATCGCCTTCTCTCTGCTGAGAGGAAACCGCAGACATTTCTAAGTCGGAAAAGTTTACTTTCTTCCTACGTCGTAGAATAAAACTATGTATCGAAAGTCCATGAACTGGAGGAGACCGAATGGCACGGATAAGTGTAACTATCTAACTCGATTAAAGAAATAAACAGCGAAATGCACGACGCTCCCTTCCGCCACCTACTTAGAGCAACACTGCAGATTGCTCCGCTCACCCGGTAATAGCAAGCGGCTAACGTACAGACTGACTGTAGCCAATCACGCCGCGGTTGCGCTACGGCACAGGCCGAACGCCACAAGTCACACAATTCGGAACACTAGGGGAAACCCAGGATGACGTACCACACCAAAGACGAATCAGCCGAGGCACGAGTGACAGGGCTGCCATCCAATGGAATTTGTTGGACGTTTATGGATCGTTTTACCATCCAATACTATTATGTTGGAGGGCGGAATAATGTATTAATTATGCAGTATTTCCCGAAAGTTTCGTCAGCTGGGACGGGAATATTTAGTACCTAAACAAAACCAATTTAAGTGCCTTTGACATTTCACAAGTAGGTGTATGTGTGTGTGTATTTTTATTTATATAAATTTTTCTTTAGGACTTTACAAGTAATTGATGTTAATATGTTCATGTCATTTTAAAGTCATCGTGTGTCTGTCTGTATAAAATTCTGTTTATTTTTGCCACTTTGCCGACCATGTGTGGCACAGTTCATGAAATGCTGCAACCAGATGCTGAAGTGAAAATGGTATGAGCGGTGATATGTATTGTGCTTTTGGGTAACAGAGCCAGTTTTCACTACTGACAGATTACATAGTACATCTACAGAGCACAGGAATTGCTTGAGGAAAAAGTCTAAAGGTACTTCTATAGTATATCAAAATCCCAATTATGCTAAAAATAAAGATGCTTAGAGCAGGTAAATAAAGTTTTTTAAAAACATGGGCTCCATCCATTAGTAGAACATCTAAATAATGGTATTGGATTTGAACCATATTATAAAAATTATGCTGACACATTTATATAGAAATTAAACATATAAATAGTTCTCCTATTCAATTTTTTATTCATAAACATTTTCATTATTTAGCACATATTTCATTGGGATATCAACATTACAATGGTACCCAGTGGCCTGCCACTAATAATTAAAAGTAATAACAATAATAATAACAATAATTATAACAGTAATACGCAATGTGTACAAATTATCCTATACAATCTGTATTCACGAAAGAAAAATTGTGCCACATATAATGATAAACTTAGCAAGAATATAATACTGTTTCAAAGCTGAATGGAGTTTGTATTCTGGCAATTCTCATCCTAAAGTATTGAGAATTAAGTTGAATGTCATCCATAGAATATTTAGTACATCAATTTCAATTTGAATATTGGCAGATTAGACCTGTGAGAATACTGGAATTGCACAGGTACTGAATGAACTGTGACTGTAAAGGAAACAAAATGTAAACACCAAAATGTGGATTTCCTGATACACAACAAATTCAATGCATGGAATGATGATGCATGAAATGCGAGAACCCTAGATATAGCTAAAATCATAAGGGTATTTACATTTTCAATTTAATAATAATTTTACAGCAAAATCTGACAATCTTGTCTCATTTGAATTTCCGACAATTTTTTTTAAACCAATTAAGTTTTATAAAACAATGACTGAGTCCAATTTACCATATTTACCAGTCCACACAGCTGGAAGTCAAAGCTAGGCTACAATTTGGAATAAAAATAATAAATATAAAAAACATAGACAACTGTGATGTGTCTCAATCATAGTTCGACATTTCTGTAGTCTAATTTGGCTAAAGCAGAGGTAAAATAAAGTTGCAAGTACCACTAAATATACAGAAATAATGTACTTTAAGGCATTACCTAAACACTGCAAAAATATATAGAAGGTGCAGGCAGGGACATACCTAGAAGTTCCGGGGTCCCTGAAATGTTACCTTGGGCCCCAACAAATTTAATGTATAATTTTAAGTATTCAGGGGCTCCTGTCAAGTGCTGGCCCCCCGGAATCTGCCAGAAAATCCTTGCACCTCTGGGTGCTCGAGACCAACAATGATTAAAATGTCTCTAAGATGAATGTGGAGTCAGTTTCCATATGTTCTCATACCACTCTGAATTTTGGTGCTCTATCCATCAGTGGCTCAAAACAACTTTAACTGAAACAATAAACATCAATGACTTGGTTAATGAGTAACAGTACTGTAGTTCCACTGACCACTGAGTTTCATTTAAATCATGGATATACGTTCTCCAAAAACGATCAAGAATCATTGTCGCACCAATCAGGCACATATTGCATTTGCTTACAAGGAAAAGTGAAACGTACAGAGGGAGTAAGAACACTAAGCTGTTATATACAAACTCACAAACTATGAGGTTATGACTGGTCCGGGTTTACTATTAGGTCAAGTGATTGCTTTTAAACAAAAAAATAACAACCACAACAACCACAACCACAGCAATGTCATCAACAACAAGAACAACATCAAGAGCAACAATAACAATAATGAAGAAACAAAACGATATCTAACAAATATCTATAGCTGATTTGCAGGTTTTTTTTTTTTAATGAACTCACCTACATTGTGAGAGAAAGAATGAAGGGAGACAGGACACAGTAATCCTATTCCATTCATGGATCGCAAAACAAAAAAACAAACAAAAAAAACACCTCAGCCTGGGGAACCCAAGTGGTCATGTAAGGAACAAAAGCTATTCCTAAAAATAAGTTCCACCACTATGATCACAAATCCAACTCAAACTGCACAAGATAGAAATAAGAAGTTGCCAATCTTATTTTACTCATTGGCCTGCATGAAACGGAATAAATTATATTTACAAATATATTTTACCCTTTTGTCTCCCCCCCCCCAATATTTATGTACGGTACTTAATCTAAAATGTTCAATTTTTCACGTTACCATATATATATATATTTTTTTTTAAGGTAACAATGCCATATAGAAAAAGTTAATGCACGTTCTTTGTCACATAAATCTCATCTTTTCCCTGCAACCAAATCTTTAAATATCTACATAGACATTTCAAATTATAGGGAGAAAGCCCATTACTGTCAATCATCTTTCATGCACACATTCATCCAGTTATACTCTACTATAAACAACTCTGGCTAAAGTCCATTTTTATATAACACACCAATGTATAATATTTCAACAGTTTCTGCAGCCTGAAATATCAGATTTCCCAAATAAGTCAATCTCTCTATGGTAAACCAAATGATAGGACTTCTCTCCAAATCCTTATTTTAGATATTTAAATGGGACCTATTATCGGGATCATATAGCATAACTTTTCATTTTACCAAGCAGATATCCAAATATTATACAAAAGTATTTCTAAATCATTTATTCATCTGTATTACAAAAATGTATGATTTTGGGGTAAATTGTTCTAAGGCGGATGTCAGTTTTATCTTCGGAGAATCTAAGTTATTTATGTTATGTTAACAGTTAGGGTTCTCTGTGTCTGCCCTGTTGTTTAACACCATTGTGGTTCAAGTATTCTGTCCGGTTCTTAATACATTAGTTAACCAGCCATCTCAGAAAAATTAACTGAAAAAGTTTAAACAAACTGCTGTTTTCTTCTGGCATTACAATCCTTAATTTTGCAAACAAAAAAGATGTCATTTAAACGACATAAAACTATGTATCGATGTTTGAAAGAAGCATCATAAAATCGACCTAATTAACTTCTTCAGCAGCTCCATTAGAATTTACTCTGCTATTTTATTTATACATTTGATTCTGTGAAGGACAAACTTCACTTGCCTTTTAACCCACTAGTACTGTTAGCAGAAAGGCAAAAAACAATTGAATTGCATAAAAAGTGCAAAACCAAAAGAAGCCTTCCCTTTTGAAAAAAGTAGAAAGTGCCCACACTGTCAAAAAAACTGCCAACTAACTTACCTGCTTAACTTTCTTTAAAGTCTCCTCAATTTTCAGTCTATTTGGAGTGTAACAGATCAATATATACTAACATTTCCCTCTAAGCCAAGCTGAAGATATATATTCGCTCTTTGGCATAGATTTGTGCAATATTTTAAATTGTCCACTAGAGGGCAGAGAAGCTACATAACCTCAGACGATAACGAGGGAGTAGAGAACAACTGTTGTCAGCATAGGCAAAGAAAGACTTATCAGGCACAAAACATTTGGCTGGTGGTAACACGTTGACATTGGTGAGAAATTACTAGTTTTCTGGTTGTGAAACTAAAAAAAAATCTGTCTCCCATAATCACACAAGTTTTGTAAAACTGCTACCATAAAATATAACAAATAATTTGGTTAGAGATTTTTTTCTTCCATATCCAGACAATTTTACAATACCCAATCATAACATAATTTTGAGACAGAACATACTTAAAGACACAAAATGCTGATGAGGAAAGCTTGTCTCCAAGGGCATAGGTTTGGTTTCAACGTTGGTAGGGACCAAATCAACCCCACAACCCCCCACCCCCAGACACACAAGGTACTCCCACAATATTGGTAAGGACGTGTCCCTACAGTCCATACCCAAATCTACGCCCTTGCTTGTCTTCCACCATCTCATTCAGCTGTCCACCAGAGCCGAGTTAATGTTCAGAAACACGCCCTCGTTCAGCAAACGGAGCAGCCGTCGGTCTACCACAAGCTGGTCCTGGGAAACTCTTCAGGCCTGCAGCTCTGTCGGCATTTGCGAGCAGGGAGCCATGCCAGTCCACCCAATGCACCTTTCACATCTTCATAAGAGCTTCCTTTCACGTCACCGCAGGGCTGTAGTGAACAGCCCCAAATGGCCAGTCTACAGCAAGGTGGAAAACACAGGAGCCTCTCTGCCAAAATGGTGATTTTTGGGGCTGTAGTGAACAGCCCCAAATGGCCACTCTACAGCAAGGTGGAAAACACAGGAGCCTCTCTACCAAGTCTACCTGTTCTCACAGCCATGATTTCTTTGCAAACCACAAATATGCTTGGCAAAAGCTGGGCTGATGGGTTATGGTGAAGAATGTTTGTATTTGCACTGTTTCATATTAAATATTTCTATATATTCTCATAGATTACCTTTAGGCTAAGCATGATTTTGGTGGAAACATCCAACCAACAAGATGAGAGATACAAGGAGAAAGTGAATCTGCAGGCGTTACATGCAACTGACCATTGACATTAAGAGTGTATATATGGGAGAGTTAGTGTACAGGTGTGCAAAGTGTGTGTACAAGATGGATGTCACTAATCACAGTGGTGTCACAATCACGTGTTTTCCCCTGCAGACACGAGGTCCTCCCCTTCCTCTTCTACAGCCTCTGAGATGGGGGCGTGAGCCTGCAGCTCCTCTCCGCGCCCAGCCCTTGATAGCACCTCCATCCAGCGTCGTTGTAGCTCCTCCCCCTCAGCACTGAAGTACACGGTGAGGTGACTCTGGCTAATTTTGAAAGCATGGCGTCGCTCAAGTCGGTCACATGACTCTGGAAGAGACACCTCAAAGCCAATGAGGGGTATACTGCGCTGAGCCTTGACATCCTGCGACAGACAGTGGGCAGAAAAAAACATTCATTAAGATAGGCACACACACCAGAAGCGTTACAGCATTCATTAAGACACGCACACACACCAGAATCGTTACAGCATTCATTAAGACACGCACACACACCAGAATCGTTACAGCATTNCGTTACAGCATTCATTAAGACACGCACACACACCAGAATCGTTACAGCATTCATTAAGACACGCACACACACCAGAATCGTTACAGCATTAATTAAGATAGACACACACACCAGAAGCCTTATAGCATTCATTGAGACACGCATACACACCAGAAGCGTTATAGCATTCATTAAGACACGCACACACACCAGAATCGTTACAGCATTCATTAAGACACGCACACACACCAGAAGCCTTACAGCATTCATTAAGACATGCACAACACACCAGAAGCCTTACAGCATTCATTAAGACACGCACAGCCTCTGTGCCTGTGATCCAGCTTCCACTTAAGAAAATTCTGCATGAAAGTAATAAGGACTCTGCACAGCCTAATTATCTTAATCCTTCAGTCACATCTAAAAACCTCCATTTAATACATAGCTCCTTTGTGTTTATAGAAATATCATATGTTTATGATGATAGACATGACAATAAAATGATTATGTAAACACCAAAAGAGTATATTTTCGAAGGGGGTGGTTTTCGTCATTTTTCCCCTTGAGGGAGGGCATCCGCATGCATCCCATGACACCTGGACTCTAATCTTGTAATAATCACCAACGTCACATTTCAATTATTCATAAGAATAATCAGATAACCAATAAGTAACGCTTACCAGTCCTTTTCAACTTTGAAGAAACAAGTTGTAAAAGTTCCTTTATTGCCTATAATCGCAAAATAACACTACAGTGTACTGTTCTCTAATTTATCTGTTAGATAATTAAAAATTTCTAATGCTGAGTTATCCTTTGCATGCTAAAACACCAATGGCTAAGCTGCTGCTGGAAAGAGGATGTATGGTGATGAAGATTTATGCTGCAATGCACCCCTTGGCTCCAGGGGGCGCCAGTCATGTTCTTGAAATCCAAACAAAGCCTCAGGCCCTGCATCACAGCTGACTGAACCTGATCTGTAGCTCTCTCAGCTTTAAATTATCTGAAATGTTTTATGCCCAGAGTTCAAAGAAAATTACCAGTATGAACCGCTGTCGTTTTCCCCAAAAAAGAGAGATGTCTACTAAATCAGCACTTACCAGAGGAATTATGTTTATGTCTATTCCAGATAAGCACAAAAAAATCATGTGTAAATGTGACAGTGTTGAAGGGAAAATTCAAGAACCTTTCGCCTCTATAATGGCTGATTTTGGTTCTCAATAAGTGGACGACATTTCCTTCAGTGTCCTGAAGTACTGCAGCCACAGCTGGAGCCCCAAGAACATAAAGAGTAAGAGCACACATAAACATGTTAAATGAGACGTCTTAAATGCCATCTGCCTCTTACCTGTGGGGCACCATAAACGTACAGAACCAGGGGCTCGTTGTCCGGGACGACAAACCAAGCTTTCTGCCAGCCGCGACCGCTTCCCTTCTCCATGTGATGCAGGAAGCTGCACAGTACACTGTTCTCAGCAACGACAGAGGCCTGTTTCTGCGAGGACACACACACACACACACACACACACACACACAGAGTTAGGCTGGCACCGTTGTCTCTTACACTGCTGTCCTGGAGCTCTCTGCTCCCTCGCAGTCTCACAGGCTATGTGAGGGACTTTGGTCAGTCCTACAGTGGGAATATCGGATTCTGTGCGCCTACTGAAGTGGCTGAGGGGTTGGAATTGTGGCTAAAGGGTTTCAATATCAAATTCCTTGGTATCTACAAACTCATGAACGAAGGTTAACTGATGTGCCAAGTCAATTTTTAAATGGATACAAAGCGGAAAAATCCTTGTACATCTAAACAGCAAAAAAATTAGCTGCACAAATAAATACTAAATGTTCCAACCAGTGCTGCTAGAGATTTTGGGCCCCATGAAAGCATATGATATTGGGCCCCCAACGCAGACCAATTGAAATATGTTCCAAATTTTTTAGGGCCCCTGTCATTTAGGGCCCCTTGAAATTGCCTTAACTTTCCCCATTATGGCGCTCCCTGTTCCAACAGCTCACCAATTTCTCTTATTAAGATAGCACCCTACCTCCAGGATGGACCTGCGTCTGTATGTTGACTGTGTCATGCCAGCAGGTGAGGGAGGGACTCCATGCAGGGCGGTGTAGCAGTCCACGCACACGCGGTTGGCCCGGTTGTTGTCATACAGCAGCCGGGCCCGGAACTCAGAGCACTTCCCACAGACCACCTTGAGCCGAGAAGACAGCAGGTTGCTAAACACCACAGCAGGTATTTTCTGTCCAGAGGTGGAACTTATACAATACCAGTCACAAACGTAGACCATAGAAAGGTTTATTTGTAGTATTCTTGACATTTTAGAATAATTATAAAGACATAAAAACTATAAAATAACATATATGGAATGATGCACTGACCAAAAAAGTATTAAACAAAAATCTGTTTGGAGGAGGTCTGTGGGGTGTAACTCAGAGGGTTGCTGGTTCAAATTCTGTGGTCGATAAAGTGATGCCACCATTGGGCCATTAACCCCAGTTACTCGATTGACTGGCTGACCCCACTGTCTCTACACCAGTTCCATGAGGCAGCCTCCTAGGATGCTTTTCCAGCTGTCCTGAAGGAGGTCCGACATATATGCTGAGCACTGATTGGCCCCTTTTCCTTCACTCTCTGGTCAAATTTCTCTAAAACCATCTCCACTGGGTTTAGTTCTGGTGGCCAGATAATATAATGTGACACTTAGTCTCTTTCTTTTGTAGGCAGCTTGGCGTGTTCATCATGGGCCTACTTTATGATGTCTGGACACTTTGTGCCAAGTAAGACATACATGACCGCAGGCCTTGCAGTGGTGACGCCTCTTGGTTATGGAGTTGAAGGGCTCCTGGCACTTCATGCACAGCGTGACCTCCTTCTCCCGGATGGGTGTGGGTGCTCGCTTCCCCAGCTCTGTGCTGTTCTGGGGGAGGGAGAGAGGACCAGGCACGTTAGAACGAGGAGACACCGAAACACCTGTACGGAGAGAAGTGGACTAATCTACTTATTACTCGCCTACTGTCACACTTACTGGTGAGTTGGGGGGGGTGTAGTCCTCATCCCGGAAGGAGCAGTTGAGAACCCGGAAGGTTTCCAGCGTCTGTTCGTGTCTCTGGATGATGGCCTGGATAGCCTGAGAGACATAAGGGAATCGTGATGAGACTCTGGAGTACAGGAGCCAGTGGGTACAGACAGAAGGGAATCGTGTTGAGACCCTGGTGCACTGGAGTTGGAGGGGACAGATAGAAGGGAATCGTGATGAGACTCCGGCGCACAGGAGCCGGTGGGGACAGACAGAAGGGTATCGTGATGAAACCCTGGTGCACTGGAGTCGGTGGGGACAGACATTAGGGAATCGTGATGAGACTCTGGCGCACAGGAGTCGGCAGGGACAGACAGAAGGGAAAAAAATACTACAGAAAATATGAGAATAAAAAACTACCTGGATCCAATCTTTCTTCTCCTCTTCCGTCCTATGGGGAAAAAAAAGTTTAAGACCGATAAAAAGTCCCAGGTGCACATCTATGGAAAGGCGGTAATAAAACACACTGCCGTGGGCTTGCCGTGCTGCCCAGAGTGGAGCCGCATGGCTGTGAGCACGGCGGTGGGGTCTAGCCGCATGAGCCCAGACTGACCTACACTCCTCTGCATCTTTCACCGCACTGTAAGTAGGAGGTAAAGCTGCAGCTGCTGCAGGCCTCTCCCACCCAGTCTGCCAGTCCTCGGGGCCGGTGCTCCACTCACCTGGCCTGTAGCTCCAGGGAGCGCTGCTTTCCCGACACCAGGAACGTCCGGGGCATGTTTACCCCACCAGTTTCCTTCAGCTGAAAAAGGCACAAAGGAAGTGACCTCACTATCATCCCAGCCTTCAGCAGCTTCACCACAGGCAGTCCTAATATCACTGGAACGCAACAGAGAGCATCAAAATTCTATAATGTCAGCATGCCCAAGACAGGGGGGTTGGGGGTGGGGGTTGGGCAGCCAGGGCCCTTGGATCCCCAGAGGATTTTGTTCTCCCTACTTGGGTTAGTTTTTGGTTCCTCTCCTCTGCTGTCATCTGGCTTTATTTCTTTTTGTCATTCAATTCTTTCCCTGTTTTTGAATTATTGTGTAGAAATGATGTAGGAATGTAATACACCCTATGTAAAGCTCCTGGGGGTGACTACATTGTGAAAGGCACTATATAAAATTCAATTGAATTGAATTGAATTGAATTAGTGCTGGGCAATAAAACGATCTCGATTTTTTATCGATAAAAAATTAGGACGATCACGATGATACACACAGACTATAAAACTCGATCAACCAAGTTTGCTACGTTTTAGAGAATGCGCTGAGACAGATAACTCAATGGCCTATCGAGCAGAGGTTTACCGAACGCCAGCACAACAGGCAATCACCAACGACGTTGTAATTCTGCCCATCCTCCATTAAAGAAGCAATGGGTGTGTTCGTCTTGGACTTAGGTCTGTCTGCAGCTGACGTGAGGAGGAGCAAGGTCTGCCGGCGGCTGCAGGGATGGAGTATAAACTGACTGCAGCCAAGTCGGACAACTTCTACTCCTCGTAGTCTGCGAGACCTAACTGCAATGGCAGCACTGCCAGAAGGGTGTAGATAAATCTATACAAATATCACCTGCATGCACATTACTTCGTTTACAATAACCAACTCCTGATACAAACTGTTAGCAGTGAAAAAAACTATTGTGTATAGTGGCCCTGTGTAAAAAGATAGCTACCAGGAAAAAGATCAAATACATTTACTTCAAGGATTCAAAGTTTTTATTGTCATGTACAGAGTACAATGCAATTCTTACTTGAATGCCTTCTTCACAGACTGGACGATTAAACGAATAAAGCAGCGCAACATTACAGTAACTAACAATAAATAAACCACTAACTTACGTGTACTGTTAGAGCATTTATGTAATTTATTTAAACATTATTTTACCAGGTAAATGAACTGAAAACCAGTTCTCACTGCTTTACATGCTTTTCGGGAGAAATAGCAGATAGCGCTTTGGAACTTCCTGGGATACAAACATCATGCGTGTGACTAAAATCTTCAGCCAATAAGGGCAAAGTTGTGTCGTCACGGAGGCG